CATAAGACATATAAAATTTATAATTTGTTTGTTTTAATAAACACATTTATTATTACTAAATTATATTAAAAATCAATTTAACTATGGATTATTTTCCAAAATCGTACCATAGGTTAATTGTTTTCTCCATAATCTTTAGATTAATTGGAGATCGTGAGATGCGGTCTGGTGTGACGTAGGAAAAACATGTTCTTTATCGTGCCAACGTTTCGACCTTTATTGAGATCATCTTCAGGGCATGGGATTTATAAACATTGTTTAAATTTTACAAATATATGTAGGATGCGGAAAAAAATGAATTTATACAATGCTAGAAATTTTAAATTCGATCAAAGTATTTATACTCACTCAAAGTGTTTGTTTTCTGTGTAGATGTGTCAGTCTTGTGTGTCGTGTTTAGAGTGCCAGTGAGATGTTGATATTTTATGTTTACATACGTTGGATTTTGAAAGGGTGGGGAAGGAAGTCGGGATAGAAAGACATTTTTATATAAGGAGTCAATATCAATATCGATTACATATATCATTACATCAGACAAAACATATAAAACAATCATCACATTCCACTCATCAAATATTTCTATATAGTCTAATTCTTCAACAATTTGGCTTTCCTTTCCCTAATTTTCCCCGTTTATATAATCCTGAAAGGATAATCAGGCCGAACCATTGCCCACGTTTTTCCCATTTTCGGCTCCTTTCACCTCAAAGAAGCCGACTCCTCATATGAAAATGTCTTTCTATTCTATATATTCTAGAAAAATGTTTGAATCTTTCTATTAAAAAAAATGACGGGTCAAAGTGAGAGGAATGTTTTATCGTCAGCGAAGTAGACAGGTTATCGAGAAATATGAACGGATGCTTAGGTCGCATTCTTGGGTAGTTGAAGAAAAGCTAAAAAGGACAATTCTTTAAAAGGTACATGTTTTTTTCCCCAATATTTGCTTACGTGCATGATTTTTGATATTTTTGTCTCCAATATGTTTTCAAACATATTTTAACGAATTGATGGCCGAAATATTTAAAACTGGGCTTAACTCAAGGGGCTGAAACCGTGTTAAGTAGGAGAAGACGATCACAAATTGGATCTAAGAGGACCTCCCTTTCAATCTTGTAATGGTCTATTGTTTAACTTTGGGTTAAGTATCCCCGGGCTAAATGGATGATTGGCTAGGATATAGTTCCCCCATGTCTTATTATTATTTGACCCCCTTAAGCCATTCAACGAGATTATCCCCCGCCTCTGGGCCCCCCTACGGTTCATACACCCGACAGACAAATCAAACTAAATGACGTTGAATCTCTGGGTAAAAATTGAATGAAACGGATTTCGGCTGGGGTCAAAGGGCTGGCCGATTGCGGCTTCGATGTCAACTCGCAGATGGAAACTGGGCCTGGAGAGTCGGCCTGTGCAAATTATGTAAGCCATTTGAGTGCCCCCGCTGTTCAAAATCCCATTTCCACTTTGACCTAATTTCTATGTGTACGTGTAATCAATTTGGAGGACCCGAGCTCTAATTCCATAATTTACACACATGGTTTTGAAAGCAAATTACATGGTTTAGATGAATAAATGTTTGTTCGATAAACAGAACCTTTATTTAAAAGTAGGAGAAAATGCCTAGAGCTAAAAAATTTAGTCTTTAAGTATATGCGTATATCTAACATTGTTATTCTCACCACCAGACAAAAACTAACAGATTTGCTAGATTCCAATTATAAAATAACGAAGTTAGAACAAACGTACACACAAGGTTTCAAAGTTTCTACAGTTACCCCTAGTTTTCTCGAAGTTTTTACTCAAACCACTAAAAGCTTGGAAAGACCATTTTCAGAGTTTCGACAATTAAATCTTTTATACCTCTAATAAAACACTAAACTTCGTTGGTAATAGATCAAGAGTAAGTTGGATGAGGAAAGACTTAAAAAGCAAGTTGTTCAAGTTTCTGAGATGTCATTTTTGAGACGTATTGTTATAAGTAGGATGGGGGCCTTTTTATAGACCAATATGGATCCTGATGACGCAATATTTGGTTTAAAACGTCAAAAAGGCTTTTACTAGCTTTCAGAAACTTCATGAAATACAAACTGAAGACGTGAAATGAAATATTTGTTTGAGGTGAGCACTTAATTTTTCCAAATAATATGATGGATCACCAACATTCAACCATTGCTCTGATGTTTTAGATTTTTCAATAAGGTATTGTATGGATGACTTAGATTCACTAATTTCGTGGTCCCCTTGACCAATTAATACATTACAATTAATTAAGTTTTTAGTTGAGATGAAAAAAAGTTAATGGCACGAGCGGGATTCGAACCCACGATCTTCGGCTAGATACGCCGCTGCTCTACCACTTGAGCTATCAAACTCATAAGGTGGGGTTGAGATAGGAAGTTGATGTCCGAGTGATATCCCGCTCGTGCCATTAACTTTTTTTTCATCTCAACTAAAAACCTTAATTAATTGTAATATTGACTAAGTTTGGGGCTGAAATGACCTAGATGTCGGAAGCCCCAGTTAAAAAAAAAAATAAAATAAAATAAAAATAAGGTCATTATGGATTCGCACAATAAGGGTTAGGATTTCCATCTACTTTTGGGCCTGGATAGTGGGAAACGTATTGATCAAGTTTTTTATTTTCTCTGTTGACGAGAAACGCCTTGAAATTGTTGAAACAGAGACTCCAGCTTTTGCTGACATCAGCCCAACCCGAAGGGCAAAGCTAGGACTTTTGAAATTGACTAATTATGTTTCCTGTATAACGTAAAATTTGGTACAAAACGTTTAAATTGTTACACAGTTGGATACAGAATAATGTTGTACCCAGACTTGGGTTGGACTCAATATCCTTCGAGCCGTCGTTATACAAAGTCATTTGCGAGCAAAGTTGAGCTTTTGACCTGAACGTTATGAATTATTTTAAATTAATAAGGTATTGGTTGAGATAAAAAAAGTCAGTGTCACGAGGGTGATTCGAACCCACGACCTTCAGCTAAATACTCCGCTGCTCTACCACTTGAGCTATCGTGACTTCGATCCACTCGGACTCATAACTAATTAACTTCTCATCTCAACCCCACCTTTTGAATTTTCCCTCCTTTTTGCTATTTTTCAAATTTTTTTTATCTCAACCAAAACCTTAATTAATTTAAAAGAATTTATTTGGTCAAGTGGACCACGAAACCTAATAAAATATAATAAACAATACTTCACTAAAGCTCTCCGTGGCCATTTCATTTGTCTATGACAAATGGACACTAAGATGGCAAGTTAGTGTCCGAGTGGATCGAAGTCACGATAGCTCAAGTGGTAGAGTAGCGGCGTATCTAGCCGAAGGACGTGGGTTCGAATCCCGTTCGTGACGTTGACTTTTTATCTCAACTTAAAACCTTAATTAATTGAAAGGTGTCCATTGGTCAAGCGGACCACGAAAGCTAGTAAACTTAATAAGTAAAAATGAAGTATACTTCACTAAAGCTCTCCGTGGCCATTTCATTTGTCGCCGAGAATCAAATACACTACACGACATTTGAAAATGGCAAAAAGGAGGGAAAATTCAAAAGGTGGGGTTGAGATGGGAAGTTAGTGTTCGAGTGGGTCGAGGTCACGATAGCTCAAGTGGTAGAGCAGCGGCGTATTTAGCCAAAGGTCGTGGGTTCGAATCCCGCTCGTGATATATAATTACGTAAAGATATGATGTTCGTTGATCGACCTGCAGCTAATCTATGTAGGGTTCTAATCTTCGTAGAAGTGAAAATATTAGACGGGTGAAAAAAAGACTAAATGTTCATCGAGCTTTCAGCACTTTATCAGTGCCTATTTTATTACAAATTCAAATAAATACAAAATCCATACAATTAACAATTAATGTAATAAAATGATATATGTACTTTCTACACAATACATAGTACATATATCATTTTACTGCATTAATTATTAATTGTATGTTATTTTGTATTTATTTGAATTTGTAAAAAAATGGGCCCATGATGGCTCCATAAAGTGCCGAAAGCTCGGTTAACCCAGGATTTTGTCTTTTTTTTTCATCCGTCTAATGATCTCTACAAAAATTGGAACCCTTCATAAATTATATAAAGACAAAATGAATACATTTTACATCGCACTTTATAAAGCAATGGTAAAATGGATCATTGTGATTTATCACAAGAAGTCATGATTTTTTTCTTTGGTGCGGAACATGATGATCGAGCTTTTGTATTTTCACTATTGATGACACATCCCTGGAAAAAAAGCGATACAACCGTGAAAAATAAACTAACAAATTCAATATAATTTTTTCCGGTTAATCTCCACTCCTTGATTGTATATTTCATCAACTGTTATTTCCACAAATATTTACTATCTTTCGGATAAAGGTTTAGGATGACGTCGGTGTTATCATCTGGAAACGATGGTAAAAAAATATTGGCGTTGCTTTTGAACTTTGTTTTAAAAAATTCTTATCAGTGAAAAAATTGAGAAAGCCTGCCGTTAAAAGAAATTCAATTTTGGCTTGATTGGTCATGATATTACTTTACATAATTATATATGTAACTATTATTTAAATTAACATCATGTAAATATAATAAATAGTCCATTTTATTAAAATTTATGATTTTATCACGGATTTTATAATGCAATTTATACTTGTTATGCAAAAAAAATTCTACCTTTCAAAATATATTATTAATATTAAATATGTTATCTGATGTTTGTGTTCCTTAAATAAGGTTATCGAGGATGGTAAGGTGCATTTATCATCCGAAGTGTTTATTTTGGGTTATCACCCTCGTCCTGTGTTTATGTACGTCTCGGGGGCGAAAATAAATCCGTTTAAGAAGTACAAACCCGAGGGTGGTTCCAAGATAAGTCCACTTATAAAAAGGGTCCAGTGTGGGATCGGGCACGTGTGCGATAACGTCCCCGAACACCTGTGCGCCGGAGGGAAAAGGGCTGGGGGAGTACAGAAAAAATAGAGGCTGATAGCAAATTCATACCTAGTGCTTCCATTGTCTTCCCTTTTTATTATTTATTTTCAGCGTGTGAAGTCGAATCACGTTGACATCGCCCCGTCACACCGCATCCCAAGTATCTGAAACACAAGGGTTACACAGTCAATCATCCCTCCACAGATTTCATCTTCTTTTCTGTTGATAAAATGACGCTTTGGGCCATAAACAATATTTATAACTCTTATCTTTATAACATTATCTTCTGTCTTTTTAGATTTCAAGTTAAAAAACATAATATTTCAAAAAATCACCTTCTCCTATCTTACACCTATTAAATGGAAATAAAATAAATTTCTAGAGGAAATAAATTTAAAACAGATAGTCATACGAAAAACACCAAGGACCATGCACACAAGCTGTCATCGTTGCTCTTCTGTCTCAATCTAGACTAAAAGTAAGTTGTATACATACTAAGAGTAATAGTATCTTCTGTAAATCGTTGTAACTGTCAATGAATTTTGTGTAGCGAAATTAGGTTACCTGAAAATTCCTAGCTTCTGTAAAGCGTCGTAAAGGTCAATTAGTTTTGTTTTTAAACGTAGCTGTACCCAAACTAGAAAACTAAAAATTGCAAGCTTCTGCAAAGCATCATAATGGTCAATAAAATGACTTTTAAAACGATCCAACAACTGAATTAATAAAACGAAAATTCCGAGCTTCTGTAAAGAGTCGTAAAGGTCAATTAATTTTGTCTCCAAACGTAGATGTATCCAGATTAGAAAAACTAAAAATTCCAAGTTTCAGCAAAGCATCATAACGGTCAATATAATTACTTTTAAAACGAACCGATAACTGAATTAATTAAATAAAAATTCTACACTTTCGCAAAGCATCATAAAGTTCAACAAAATGACATTCAAAACGCAACCGATAGCGGAATTAATAAAATAAAAATTCCAAGCTTCTGTAAAACGTCGTAAAGGTCAATTAATTTTGTTTCCAAACGTAGATGTATCCAGATTAGAAAAACTAAAAATTACAAGCTTCTGCAAAGCATCATAATGGTCATTAAAATGACTTAAAACGAGCCGATAACTGAATTAATAAAATAAAAACTCCAAGCTTCTGTAAAGCGTCGTAACGGTCAATTAATTTTGTTTTTAAACGTAGCTGTACCCAAACTAGAAAAACTAAAAATTGCAAGCTTCTGCAAAGCATCATAATGGTCAATAAAATGACTTTTAAAACGATCCAACAACTTAATTAATAAAGCGAAAATTCCGAGCTTCTGTAAAGAGTCGTAAAGGTCAATTAATTAAAATTTACAAACGTAGTTGTAAATAGATTAGGGAAACTAAAAAATGCAAGCACCTGCAAAGCGACGAAAAGGTCAATTAATTTTGTTTCCAAACGTAGCTCTAGAAAAACTAAAAAGTGCAAGCTTCTGCAAAGTATCATTACGGTCAATAAAATCACTTTTAAAACGAAACGATAACTGAATTAATAAAATAAAAATTCCAAGCTTATGCAAAGTGAGGTAAAAACGTCAATTAATTAAAATTTAAAAATGTAGTTGTAAATAGATTAGGGAAACTAAAAAATGCAAGCATCTGCAAAGCGTAATGGGCAATCATGCAAATTTCAAACCGTAGCGACACCGGAATTAAGTATACATAAACTTCAAATGTAAACTACAAATTAGTTTTGTAAAATGATAACAAAACGCATACTAGTTTCAACAGTATATAAAAAACATTTAAACAAATGAAAAAGTACTTTTTTCTGGAGGTACAGAAAACGATCTTAACGCTCTTAAATTAATTAAAATTCGTCAATATTTTTTTTCAAAAATATTTTCCATAAAAAAATTCTTAATGCTCTTTACACAATGCATTAAAGTTGACTAATGATTTAAATTTCACTGTTGTTTCAAAATTTATAACGTCGCGATGAAACAGTCCACGTAGACTCTGTTAAGTTGGAAAGTATTAATTCAGTAGTTAGAACATTGGGTCAGCCGAGTAGTTTGAAGATGTGAGCAGTTCGATCATCCATACACATTTACAGGGAAGATGACACTTGACTCATCAGTAATCAATGAGTATTTACATGATTGATTGAACGAATACAATACAAAAATGGCATTTTTTCCTATCATCTAAAGGCTATTTTACACTGGTATATTTAGAAGGTAAAAACAGGATGCACTAGTGGTCTGAGTTGCACGTACGGTTGCGGTCGACCATCTCGGTTGCCCCGGGATTTATCGAAATTGGTTGCCAATCAAAAGTAGCAATATGTCTAACGGAGTGTAAAATACCGAGAAAACGAGCCGGTATTTTTTCTTCTTCTTTTTATTGGGCCACGTCCAACGGCGGGGGAAGAAATTTGTGAGAAAATGTAATAAATAAACCGAGAGTTTATATATAAAAACCAAGAATGAGAGCTGTGCCGAGTCGTTGAACCGAACGTGTAGAGTTTCGTGTTTTTTTTCCAGTTATTGAAAACATGTATCGGATTTATCAGAAAATACGTCCTGCCTTTAGTTAAATTCTTTATTATTTTTAAATACAAATGGTAAGTTGAATATACTACTGGATATTTTATTAAAGCTCAATAAGCTTTACTCGAAATTTCTTTTGTTAGCCAGGTTTAACGATTTATCGACAAATTCTAACATTCAGTTTTTTTTAATCGTTTTAGGTTTAAACATTTTATATGTACCTGTTGTTTCGCTATGAACCTCTGATATTCAAGTGAAATCTTTACTTTAAGAAAGATAGTCTTTGTCGTTCATTATGGTTTTTCTATCCCTCAGGCTATAAGCAGGGAGAGGCAAGGCACCGATTCGTTCTATTTGTGCGTATCACAAGCTGTCTTCACCATTTTTGTACCCTTGACCTCAGACATTGGCGGTAAAAAAGGCAAAATACTTCTGGCATAACAAACCCGCAAGAGAAAGCTTTTATTTATGATTATCAGAAACGATGGAAACTACCATTTTTTTTTTTAATAAAGAAAACACATTCGGTAAAGACATAATGTGACGATTAAACAGCAGGTCCATTTAGAAATGTTTACACAAATCGGACTTTTGTGTAATCAACAAGAATTTTAGAAAAATCTAAAGGCTGGAATTTGTTGATAACGGTCGGAAAAGACCAAACTGCAGGTTCAAACCATAACAACAACACAATTTTATCTAAATAAATAGCTTTTTTTAGCATCCAGCTTGAACGTTTCCAAACAATTTACCTTAAAAAAACCTTATTTGTGTAATTACTCTACTTAGAAATAGATCTAAGGATCTAGGAATTTTAAAAACAAACCAGAAATTTCCTTTGGATTATATATTCTTTCCAAAAATGTAAAATGAAATATAGGATAAGTAGTTTGTCAAATGTGTGTTCAATTATTAAGTTGTTTGAGATTTGTCTTCTTAAGAATTTCTCTTCTTCTTAAGAAACTATGCAAACCTTTTAAGTTGTTTCCAGATGAACTTAATTTTTTTTGCAAGCAGCAAGAAGGAATTGAAAAATTTGGTAGAAAAAATCAAAATATTTTTAAGGAATCTAAAAAAATCTATGTGACCTGTGAAATGCATGCTTTTTTTATTTGTAGTCCATCTATATTCAATTTTTTTTAAGCAGCAAGAAGGAATTGAAAAATTTGGTAGAAAAAATCAAAATATTTTTAATGAATCTAAAAAAATTTATGTGACATTTGTATATATAAATATATATATGTTTTTTTTTTTTTGCAAGCAGCAAGAAGGAATTTAAAAATTTGGTAGAAAAAATCAAAATATTTTTAATGAATCTAAAAAAATGTATGTGACCTGTGACATGCTTTTTTATTTATCCATCTAGATTCAATATTTTTCCGTACCTTTGCAAATCTAATCCGCTGGAGATTATACCAGGGGTTAAGAGGAGAATTTTTGACAAAATCCCTTCCACAATGGTTCAATTTTTATACAGTCTCGACCCCCCGGTGTACGTGCCAGGTTTTAACTTAAAAACCAATTAAGAGCTAATTTCCTCCCCGAGAAGGGTGGTTTAAGGCGTTTCGTGGGGGGAGGACCGTTTGGAAATAGAAACGGAGAGGATATTAGGGACATTTGTCCTATTCTTTCCACGGCAAACATTTATACGGAAAGAAGGCCCCGGCCCTGGAGGCGAACACTAATTTGAAAACCCCCCCTCGTCGATTCAGATTTATTGTCTGCCAAATAATAAAAACTTTCATTAAAACCGTCATAAATCCAAGCCAGTTTATTAAAACTAAACATTCACTACCGTCCAAGCATGTAGGAAGCGACAGAAATAAAAGCATGAAAGCCAAGATCCTTATTTATGTTGCCTTGTCCACGTCGTATAATGGAGGAGGACTTATGTAATCATTCTCATTCATATGTATGGGTAAAAGCGGTCAACAATGAAAAAACGAGTATTGATAATATCGTAAAAATGCGATGAAAATAACCCGTCGAAAAGTCAATATACAGTATTCATATGCTATCAATCATCTTAGGTGATGTATATGTATTTTTAAGACAGCTTAAAGTTAACCGTCTTTTCTGTATACATTTATTTTATTATATTATATATATTTTATATATACATATATATAGAGAGAGAAAAGAAGGTTAACTTCAGGCTGTCTTAAATTTTTTTAATAAATTTAAACATAAAAAACAATACAGACGTTATAGTTACAAAAAATTGGCATACACAAAGAGAAACAAGAAATTAAATTCCTAAACGGGAACAATTTTCTATTTTTGATTAGAACAAAACCTTTTCTGTTATAAAACAAAGTTACGGTCACATAACAAGTAAAAACAAAATTTGTTCAAAGATTTATTTCTAGACAAAATACTTAAAAGAACAATGACAGAAAAACTTGATATTTAAATAAAAAATTAAGAAAAACAATTTTCTTACTTTGCCATGGAAAAAAGGTATTTTGTAATAATACTAAATAACGATCGCATAACAAATACAAACATTCTTTAAATAATGTTATATTTTTCGACAAAATGCTTTACATAATATAGACATAATTTGAATTTTAAATATGAACACTGAACTGCAACAATTTGATAGTTTGGTCAAAAACGAGACTGATTTTGTTATAA